CTTTTGGCACTTTTGCTTCCAGGCGCATGCCCTTTGGGCTATGTAATGCACCGGCGACTTTTCAACGGTGTATGATGGCCATTTTCTCTGATATGGTAGAGAAATTCTTAAGAGGTTTTCATGGATGATTTTTCAGTGTTTGGATCGTCTTTTGAGGAATGCCTTAGGAACTTGACTAGAGTGTTGGAACGATGCACTGAGGCAAACCTAATTTTGAGTTGGGAAAAGAGCCATTTTATGGTTCGTGAGTGTATAGTGTTAGGACACATTGTGTCCCCTCGAGATATAGAGGTAAACAAGGCTAAGGTTGATCTCATTGCAGGCCTTCCTCCACCCAATTCCGTGCGTCAAATTAAGTCTTTCTTAGGGCATACAGGTTTTTACCGTAGGTTCATCAAAGACTTTAGTAAGATATCACGTCCTTTGTGTAGTTTACTGGTTAAGGACGCGCTTTTTATCTTTGATGAGGCATGCTTAAAGGCATTTGAAACACTGAGAATGGCCCTGACCACCGCCCCAATCATGAAATCACCAGATTGGTCACTTCCCTTTGAAATCATGTGTGATGCCTCCGATTATGCTGTCGGGAGCTGTGTTGGGCCAAAGGGTCAATAAGGCACCATTTGCTATATACTATGCTAGTCGAACTCTCTCGGATGCACAATTGAACTATACTACCATCGAGAAAGAGTTGCTAGCTGTGGTCTTTGCCTTAGATAAATTCCGGTCCTATCTCCTAGGTTCCAAGGCCATAGTCTTCACTGATCATGCCGCTTTGCGGTATTTACTATCAAAGAAAGAGACCAAGCCTAGGTTAATTAGATGGATTTTGTTGCTTCAGGAATTTGACCTAGAGATCCGAGATAAGAAAGGGTCTGAGAATGTGGTGACGGATCACTTTTCCTGAATCCTCGTTGAGTATACTAGTGACCCTCTTATTTTGCATGATTCGTTTCCGGACGAACAACTCTTTGAGCTGTCACAAGCGAGCCCCCCGTGGTTTGCACATATTGTAAATTACTTGGCCATTGGGCAAATTCCGCAGAATTGGTCTAAGCAAGACAGAGACTAATTCTTTTCGCAGGTCAAGTATTACTTTTGGGAGGATCCGGAGTTGTTTAAATATTGCTCCGACCAAGTGATCTGATGGTGTGTGCCGGAGAGTGAAGCATTCTTACATGTTGTCATTCTTCTGCATGTGGCGGTCATTTTAGTGGGCATAAAATGGCCGCCAAGATTTTACAGAGCGGGTTTTATTGGTCCACAATTTTTAAAGATGCCCATCAATTTTATAGAACTTGTTTGCGTTGTCAGCAAATGGGTTCGATATCTCGGCATGACATGATGCCAATATCCCCTATTCTTGTGGTAGAGATATTTGATGTTTGGGGGATTGATTTTATGGGACCTTTCCCGTCGTCATTCGGGTTTGAGTATATTCTCTTGGCAGTCGATTATGTGTCTAAGTGGGTGGAGGCGATAGCTACCCGAACAAACGATCATAGAGGTTTAATCAAATTCTTGCATGAAAACATCTTTAGTCGTTTTGAGTTTCCTAGAGCCATAATAAGTGATCAGGGTACGCATTTTTTGTAACCGGTTCCTTGAGTCGGTAGTCAAGAAATACTCCATCACTCATAAAGTTGACACTCTTTATCATCCTCAAATAGGGAGGTAAAAACACACAATAGAAAAAACGGTGAGGCCAGATAGGAAAGATTGGTCACAACGGTTGATTGATGCATTATGGGCCTACTGCACTGCATATAAGACATCCATTGGGATGTCACCATATAGGGCGGTGTTTGGCAAAGCTTGCCATCTCCCGGTTGAACTTGAGCATCGAGCATTGTGGGCCATAAAGAAGTTTAACTTCGATATGGCCGCGGCTAGGCTCAACCGGAAATTGCAACTCAATGAGTTGGAGGAAATTCGGAATGATGCTTATGAGAGAGTTCGAGAGTTTCTAAAGCTCGGACTAAAGAATTCCATGACAAGCACATTAATAGAAAATCCTTTGAACTCGGCCAAAAAGTGTGGCTTTTTAATTCAAAATTGAGACTCTTTCCGGGTAAGCTAAGATCAAGATGGGATGGCCCCTTTGTGGTTGTTGAGGTATTTATTCATGGCGCCGTTGAGGTGCAAGATCCAAAGACTGGCCACACTTTTAAAGTGAATGGCCAAAGATTGAAACCATATATAGAGGGGATTGGGAATGGGGAAATGATTGAGTCCATTGCTCTGATGGACCCGTTTTACTATGATTGATAGATTAATTTTTTGTTTTTTTTCTTTCCCTCCTATTCTATTCTGTTTTTCTTTGTTCTTGATGTGCTTCATTTGCGTTTAGGAGACTTTAAATCCTCTAAAGGTGTAATTCCTTTGGTGTTAGTCGTGCCCGAACGACATCTGACGGTCTGGTATAGCCACCTAACCGTGTTTGTAGTGAGTTCCTAGGAGACCAACTGAGACGGTAGAAATTAGAGTTTGAATGGCAAAGCATAGAATACAAAGGTTTGGAATTTCCGAGACTAGAATATGGTTTAAATATCCAGGGGTGTGGAGATTGCTTCAAAACTACCCCGGCTTGAACTCTTTATGGCAGCCCCAGAGGTTGAGGTAGCTTTATGCGCCTCGATTCTGGATACCGAATCAACCTACTTTGTTACCCTGTTGGAGAATAGGAAAAGTTACAAACACAGTTAGGGAGAAAAGTAGTACCCATAGTTTTCGTGTGAAGATTATATCTCTAGTGGGCATTCCGTTCTTTTCTTATTTATTTATTTATTCCGGATGTCAAATGAAGGTAGAAATAGTTTAGCATGCTTTGGGTGGTACTCGATTTTTAATTTCTTATCTTTAATCTTTTAAAAATATATATATACATATACACAGAGTTCTTTTATTAAAAAAAAAAAAAAATTCCGCACGTGCGGCTCAATTCCAAATCCAACAATTGCACGCTGCTTTAAAAGCATGTGTGGAGAGGCGTGCGTAAACCAAGCAGCACGTGCGGTTTGAAAAGAAAAGCAACTTGAAGCTTCAAGCATGTCTCCCATGATGGCTTCTTCTCCATCTACCTCCTTCCACTCCTCCATGAGTGGCTAGCCTCATTTTCTATGGTTTTGATGAAACCCTAGCCATGTAATAGGTTTTTCTTTTTGATTTTCAATTATATAAAGGTTTGAACACTTGTATGGTGTTTTAGAAGTTTCATATATATATTTTCCATTATTTCTTCAAATATTCGGCTTTCTGTGATTGTTGAATGTTTTCCATACAAGAGTTTTCTATTCTTTCACATTCAAGGTATGAGACGAATCATGCTACGAGAAACGAGTCGTATCACTACCTTAGTTTAGAGTGAACGATTCATACTACTTGAGATGGTTCGTGCTCGTACATTGAACGTGATAATTTTCTTATTAAATGCTTTGAACTTGTAGTTACGAAGCATTATTCCGTTCGTTCGAACCATAACATAATTGTTTTCAATTTGAAAACCCTATTTACGTGATTAGTGGTGGACTCTTCGCCCTAGGTTTTTCCCCAATTCAGTAAATCCATTTTCAGTTATAATTGATAATTTAATTATTTAATTTAATTTATTTGTTATTAAATTAGGTTATGATCAATCATTCTTTTTCATCAAAATTAATTTAAGAATTTATTAATTAAATTAGTTTAATTTCACAATTGTCCCTATGGATCAATACCTGGACTTACCATTATTCTAAAAGAATTTGGTTTAGTTTAAAAAAGACGCCGCCCCGTAATCACTCCAGACTTTGTCCCCCTCTCATTATTTATCTCCCTCTCATTATTTATCTCCCTCTCTCAACCCCACAACCCACCATCACCATCTTCTTCCTTTTTCTTTCTTCTTCTTCTTCCTTCTCAACCCTCCTTCCTACCATCTCACCGCCGGCATCACTATTTTCTCTTCGTCCGACAAATCTTCGGCGACAACCATTTTTTCCCGCGAATCTCCATTCTTTTTCTCTTTTTCTCTCATTTTTCAAGGTAAAATTTACTTGTTCTTTAGATTTGTGGACATAGGAGGAGAGAAGTAAAGTTTTGATTTTATTTTTATATTATATTATTTTATTTTATTTTGTTTTTGTTTTTATTTCTGTTTTTATTTTTTATTTTTTGTTCAAATCTTGATCTTTGTTTCATACCAAAAATAAATAAATAAATAAATAAGGGATTTTTTTTTATACTGCTTAGCCATGTTTGTTGTTAGTTGTTTATTCTTTCTATTATTTTATTTTATTTATTTAGCCATGTAGGATACTAACTTAGCCATGTTTATTTAGTTTGTTCATCATACAAAAAACAACAAAAAAAAAACAAACAAAACAAAACAAAAAACAAAAATCTGCATAGGAAGAAGATGAGAGCTGCACGTGCGGCCAAAAAAAAAAAAAAAACCTCAGAAATAAAGGTACTAATAATAATAATAATTTAGTTTTTTTTTTATTTACTATATTTGTTTAGTTTAAATAGTTTAGTAGTGATTCTCATTAGTTTCATTAGTTAGTGGATTGTTGTTTTTATTTTTATTTTACTTGTTTAGTTAGTGATTTTATTTTTACTTTTTTTTTTTTTTTTTTATTATGATGTAATTGTTCATTTAATTGTTAAGTAGTTTAGTTTTTATTTTTATTTTATTTTATTTTCTAAATTTTTATTTTATTTTCTTCTCTTCTCTTCTACTAACTTAAAAAAAAATAAAAAAAAAGTTTATTTTATTTTATTCTATACTTTAGTTTATTTTGTACTATAGTTTACTTCTTTTATAGCTTAGTTTAGTTTATTTAATGTCATTTTTATTCATTCATTTAATGCTTTTCATTTTTATATAAATAAATACAAAAAAAAAAAAAAAAAATTGGTGGGAGTTGCATGTGATACATCAGTGGGCTGACTTGTGCTTTAATATTTTATTTGATTCTCATGCTGGTTTCACGGGTATATGTGTTTGTTGGTGTATGCAGGATATGAGTCGACGTGTGTCTGCTCAGGCCTCCAAAAAGGGCCGAGGTTCCACCTCTTCGGCGCCACCACCGCCACTGTCACCACCATCCTCGCCACCACCATCGGGTGACTTGCCACGGCCGGAGTGGGCTTCACGCCCTCTTCACAAGCTTACGCAGTTCAACATTCCATATTTTCAGCGTGACACGGACACTACTTGGGTGGTCCATAAGAATGTCCTTTCACTTGGGCATAGAGCTGAGCGCCGTTTGGAGTTTGTTCGGGTTTTACACTGTTATCAGCATGGCTATCAGGTCTCGCTTGAGCATATCATCTGGATGCATTTGCGGAAATTTCTTCGAGAGGCAGTTCGGCCTGAACCTATGCAGAACCTGACTTAACACTGTTATTTGCCAATTTGTTGACACTTGTGTTTGAGCTGAACGGCCTCCCCATTGCTGAGAATGAGGAGATTGATAGAGCGTATCCGACTTTCGGTCAGCGGGAATGGCAACATAGCATATCTCGCATCCCGTAGCAGGTTGGTGCCCCAGTTGATGAGGCCCAGGACCCCGTACATGACCACCCACCTCATCCTGTTCCCCCCTCGCCTCTCCAAGGGGACCCACTCTACATGACTCGCGAGGAGTACTTACAGCTTCAGCACTCTGTGGATCAGGTCCACAGTACTCTTCGTGATCACCACCAGAGTCTCATGGAGTTGCGCATGGATTTTCAGGCGCATCGAGACTGTTCTCAGGCGACCTTCGACCAGCTACACGCTCGCTAGCTCGACATCCAGCAACGGGTTCAGGATGAAGCCTTTGAGACGCGATCTTTGATGCAAGCCTTCTTTGCCCAGCATTTCCCGCCACCACCGCCACCGGCTTCTCCGTAGTACCCACTGTATATTGCTTTATCTCTTTTGTTTTTATTTTTATTTTTATTTCTTTTCAGTTATTTCCTCTTCTCAAGAAAAAAACAAAAAAAAAAAAGTTGAGTGTGTGTGTTATTATATGCCTATCTGGGTGTGCACCTACAATCTCTGGTAATCTTCTCTCATTTCTCTTTACTTTTCCATTGCGGACAATGTCATATTCAAGTTGGGGGATGAGGGTTGTATTTTCTTTTGTGCATTCCTATTTGGCTCAATCATTCATGCTTATACCTGTTTCACTCGATTGCATTGCTTCACTTGATGTGACTTGTTGCTAGTAGGGTGATGATATTTGTATATGTTAATTGGGGAGCATAGTAGACTTGTATGAAAAGGATTTATTGGGTAGATACTTGCATGTGATGTTTGCACTAGGGGAGTCATTTGTGCTTGTGGTATTAGTACATTTGTCATAAGTATGTCTTAATTCACATGAACACACTCTCATAGCGGTGACCTCTTTATTATAATCCCTGGTGTACATCATTAATAATAGTTAGGTTGCAGAAAAGAATAAATGAGGAGCCAAGATTCTCTACACTTGACTTGTTTGGATTCGTAGCCTTTTTAACTCGGGTTATTAAGCCCGTAGGGGTGTCTTTACACCTAGTGCCCTAAAGCCGTCTGGTTTGGGAGTCATTGGCCCAATACTTGCTACATGGGTTAATTAGAAAATTGAAGGAACTTAGACATTGCACATTTAAGGAAAAAAAAAAAAGGAGAATAACTTGTTCGGATTCGTAGCCTTTTCAACTCGAGTTATTAAGCCCGTAGGGGTGTCTCTACACCTAGTGCCCTAAAACTGTCTGGTTTGGGAGTCATTGGCCCAATACTTGTTACATGGGTTGATTACAAAGCTTAATGGATCAAAACATTGCACCGTCATTTAAAAAAAAAAAAAACACTTGAGAATCTTGGCTGCAACAAGTTAGTTTTTTTGTATATGTTGAGTGTTATCATGAGTTACACTGGGCTGTTATAGTGGACAGTTAACTAATATGGAGATTGCACTTTACACCAAGGGTACTGATGATTTGTCTACTAGCATGCACAAGGACAGGGGATTTTACTTTTGTATTAACTGAATTGTGGTTTTGACTCAATAGGTTCCTTTGTCTATTGTGCCTTTAATGACTCATTATGTTTTAATATCACGCTGTAGTGGCACATAAGTTGATTGCTAGGTGGAGTAGTGTGGTTAATTGTTGGGCGTATATGAATATGAAAATGTTTGTGGGTTTCATTTCTGGAACCCTCACGAGACTTTACTCGTCCACTTGGGATAACTTTGTGGTTTAAAGGCTTGTTGCATTTGCTAAATGCAACCGTTTTTCCACAAAAGAGGAAATAGCTAGATTTTGTTTAATTTTATCTCTTTTTTATCACTTGCTTGAGGACTAGCAAGTTGTAAGTTAGGGGATGTGATTAAGGCTGAATTGTACATCATTGAGGCCGTTAATTAGGATCTCTTAACTTCACTTGCTTGTCAAAATGTATACTTTGTGTGTTGAATGTCAATCAGGTTGTACATAGTCGGAGCATAAAATGGGCAAAAAGACAGAATTTGGAGAGAGTTGACTTTGTCGGCACGTGTGTTGACTTTTTTTGGGAAAACGCGCCAGATGTTTTAAACCTGTTTGGAAAGACACCAGAAGTATAAATAGGCAAGAAAAGGGTTGGATTAGGGTTCTGGAGTTGTTTTGTCAAGAAAGGGAGGCTAGGGTTTGAAAAGAAGAGGAACTTGAAGCTTCAAGCATGTCTCCTATGGTGGCTTCTTCTCCATCTACCTCCTTCCACTCCTCCATGAGTGGTTAGTCTTCTTTTCTAGGGTTTTGATGAAACCCTAGTCATGTAATAGGTTTTTCTTTTTGATTTTCAATTATGTAGAGGTTTGAACACTTGTATGGTGTTTTAGAAGTTTCATATATATATTTTCCATTATTTCTTCAAATATTCGACTTTCTGTAATTGTTGAATGTTTGTCATACAAGAGTTTTCTATTCTTTCACATTCAAGGTATGAGACGAATCATGCTACGAGAAACGAGTCGTATCACTACCTTAGTTTAGAGTAAACGATTTATACTACTTGAGATGGTTCGTGCTCTTATATTGAACGTGATGGTATTCTTGTTAATTGCTTTGAACTTATAGTTACGAAGCATTATTCCGTTCGAACCATAATATAATTGTTTTCAATTTGAAAACCCTATTTACGTGACTAGTGGTGGACTTTTCGCCCTAGGTTTTTCCCCAATTTAGTAAATCCATTTTCAATTATAATTGATAATTTAATTATTTAGTTTAATTTATTCGTTATTAAATTGGGTTATGATCAATCATTCTTTTCATCAAAATTAATTTAGGAATTTATGAATTAAATTAGTTTAATTTCACAATTATCCCTGTGGATCGATACTTGGACTTGCCATTATTCTAAAAGAATTTGGTGTAGTTTAGTGTTTAATTTTGTGTGTTCAACGACCCATCAATATATATATGAACGTAGAGAGTGAATTAAAATGGGCATCAACCCCAATTATCATTAATATTAGTTCTTTTCTCTCACAGGGCACAGAACCAAACGACACTGAGGATAAATTTCAAACCTTTTGAGATATACATATGCTATATCTAAAACTCAGAATGTGTTCTTGCGTTTTTGGGTTAAACTAACTGTAATAGAAAAGAAAATGAAAATGAAAATGAAAAAATTGAGAAGCAGTGAAACATCTTCATGATCTCTTCAAACAAAGACCCTACTTTTCCTACACACACACTCCACTATCCCACAAGAAGTGACTGAAAAACTACTACTTCACAAGGAATGGTAAGACCCATGTCGTGATCAAACCCGAACTCTTCTTCGACACGTTGAAGAAGGTTCTGGAACTCAGGATGAGTCAAGAGAGAGATTGGATGTGTGATAAAGTCTTGATGTATGGCTTCTAAATTTCGATGTGTGTTCTTGGTAGTTATTTTGTCTTTTTATCGTTTTGTTGATGTAATGGGGAAAGGGATTAAGGAGATTGTTGTTCTGTATGTGTTATGTAATTAGCTAAGAGTTTAGTCCTTTTGTTTATATTGTTGTTCATGTCATCATGCTGAGCTATATTGTAAACTTTTTCGCAATGTTGAACCTGTTAAATTGATGAACCTCCTCATTTGACATTTATGCTTAACATTGGTTTATGTATAACACTTTTACTTGACAATCATTATCAATTATTTTCCTATTGTTGTCTTCTTGTAATTTTGTGAATACTTTAGCTTCTGTAAACAGTCCATATTGGTGATAATATCGATGATGCATGTGGTGTTTATATATCATGTTTGCAACTACTTTGCAGGTACTAGCATGGTTCTTGGGACGAAGACAGGGTGACGTAAGAAAACAACAACTGACCCATGGCATCACCCTCAGGAACATCTGCACATGTCATTGTCACACCACAGACTTTATCCGATGAGACACAACCGCCGGATGACACACAAACATTTGTGGAAGAGACACAGGCGCACGGCGTAGGTAAGATCATTATACGTTTTTGTTGCATCTTCAGGGTTGACTGACTGCGGACTACAATGTTATTCTTGTTTTTGGTAGTTTTGTAGGTGTGTTTCGGCCCCTAAAGATAACTTTATTTGACTTAACCAAATGATTTTTCTTCATCTAGAAAGACAATTTCTTGCATGTATAAACAAATTATAATCCCTTAGAAAATTTGCTTGGATGATTGTTAAATTTAATATTAATTATTGTCAATTATATGTTTGGGGCACTAATTGCATGTGAAGGCCTTACACTTGTTGCCCCTTCTTGACCAGGGAAAAGTACGTCAACTCGTGTATGTGGTCCTACAGTCGGAAAAGGAGTGCAAAAAAGGATTGTGAGAAAAAAATGGGAGAAACTACATGTATATGTCAATCACATGCTGAATGCCCTCACTGGGGGGAATGCCACGCCTGCAACAAATGAGTTGGGCTTGTTGATAAGGCGGTTGTGCCCTCTGAAGGGAGTGAAGTCATGGAAGAAAATTGATCAGAGTATCAAAGATGCTGTAGTACAAGCTGTGTTAGTAATTTCTGACCTTAAACTAAATGTCTTCATTATTGAAAGTTGCAATTGCTGCATTCAATTTCTGTAATACGTCACACACTTATGCTTGCAGGACACGTTTGAAAGAAATTGGTGAGGATTTTCATACTGATCAGCAAGCTCAAGAGATCGTTAATGCGAAGGCGTATCTCTTGTACAAGGATTGGTGGTACACCCTAAAGTAACACTTAGAAAAACTTGTCAAAGAGGGTGTTGATGACCTATATAGTCATCCGCCTACAGGAGTTTGCTTGGATGATTGGAAACACATGATTGATGTGGCTTAGAAGGATGATTCTCATTTGGTAACAAACAAATATAAACGACTCTATTGCTTTATTTGTGTATTATGCATTGATATGTACTAATTCTTGAATAATTTTTTTTTTTTAGAAACGCTCTAAAGCTGGTAAAGCAAACCGGAGTTTGCTACCATACAATCACACTAGTGGATCTCGCTCCTTTCCAATAGCAATGTCGCTCATGGTGAGTTAGATACATTTGGAACAGATTTCTCATCACTCATATATGTAAGATGAAAGTCATGGTTACTATTGTGACGAATTAATTTTGTTATTTGAAACTAACAGGTAGATGAAAATGGGGAGTTGGATTTTTCAGAATTTTATTCCAAATCACACAAATCGAAGAAAACAAACGAATGGATTGATCCCAAATGTGGTGAGCTACATGTAAGGAGTAAACTCTTTTTACCAATTGTATTTAATATTAATGCCTATCTTAGCACAAAATTTCATGTGATTCTTTGTGCCTTTGTTGAATAGTCTACTTTTTTTGGTAATGATAGGATGCAATGGTGAATCTACAAGCGACAGCCACGGATGCGGGGATCCCATTGACATAGGAGGAACTCTCACGGCAAGTGCTTGGACAGAGAAAGAATTACTTGCGTGGATTTGGGATAGGCCCACAACCCTATTCGCCATTTGATAGTGCGGCACGATCTCGTGACAAACAAATGGAGGCAATGCGATCTGAGATGGAGGTTCTTCACGAAAATTTGATGAAGGAGAAAGAAGAGCGCTAGACAGATCGTGAAGAGATGATGAGGGAGAGAGAGGAGTTGATGAAAGAAGTAGAAGGAAAAAAAGCAAGGGAGGCGCAACAAGAACAACTGAATCATTTGAACTTTGTGGTTTTACGACTCTCAACACTGTTGGAGGGTTCAGACGGTCATCGTCGTATTTGGTAAGAAGAATTTCATTCATATCATACTAAAACTTATACAAACTTAGATTTACATATTCACTAAACAACACAATCAGTTCATTAGGTTGTTTGATGATGCTCGACGCAAAGTGTACGTGGAGTGTGATAAGTTTTCTGTATTGTCCTTTGTTATTAAGATGCTTCATATTAAGGTGTACAATAAATGGAGCAGCAAATCTTTCGATATGGTTATGCAAGTTTTCAAAGACATTTTTCCAAAGTGTGATGAAACTGTTCTATGGACCCTTTATGAAGCGAAAAAGTTCTTACGTGAATTGGGTTTGGGATACGAGGCCATTCATGCATGCAAGAATGATTGTATTTTGTTTTGGAAGGACAATGCTTCAATGTGAAGATTGTTTAGTGAATGAGATCAATGCTTTTTGAGTTCAGATGAGGCTTATTGTCTAGGAATTGTTGGAAGTTAACAGGGCAATTCAAAACTGAAATTCCTTTATGGAAACTGGGCAATTCAAAACTAAAATTCCTATTTCCTTGTCAATAGGATTCCTTTTTTTTTTTTTGTTTTTTTGTTTTAATTACCAAGAGTGGTAGCCTAGCATGTGGGAATTCACTTTCACTATGTTTGTGAGCAAGTGACTCTGGGTTCTAGTCTCTATAGGGTCAATAATTCCATCCATTTTTTCTTCTGGTTCCTGCTTGCTAGGATCCTGTTAGGGCTAGAGTAAAGTTATGGTTCACATCTGTCTTGAAGGAACACTTGCAACATAAACTAATTAAAAACAAGGGCTCAAAAACCAAAATTAAAATTAATATTATAGCAACATAAACTACATATTGTGCCTCCACACAATTATGATCTTAGGTTACAATAGAAATGTACTCAATGGTGTAAAAAATTGCGTCACTTGCTCGGCAGGTAAGTTCCATAAACAAGACTGCATCTGATTTGCCATGTCTGCTGCTTGATGTTGTCTTTTGTTTAAGGGGCTTCAAAATATATTTATTCATGCCGATTTGGTGTAGTGTATTTTTAATTGAGTTGCTCTCTGTGACAATACAAATTTAATGTGCCAAATATTATTGAGTATGGCCACTTTCTAGCTGGAACAATAGACACATGGAGATTCTTTTGTTTGGCACCAATAACACCAATGATGTGCTGTTATATTGTTTTAATACTATCTGTTATCTGCATATCCATTGAGCTCACTGTCAGGATAAGTCATAGAAAATTCCCTTAAAAAGGCCGTTTCGGGGGTGAAAATTGAAAACAGCCCTCGAACGACCGTGTGCCTGACACGGACAGCTTCCCCATGACAAATAGGACTTGTGACAACTGACGGAATGTAATTTGAACCCGTAGGTAGAGAGTTAGAACCGAATACGCCCAAAACTTAGTCGGAAAAGGGCATTTCGGAGGTGAAAATTCAAAACAGGCCCCGAACAACCGTGTGGCTCACACGGATAGTTTTCCTATGACAAATAGGACTTGTGACAACTGACAGAATGTCATTCGGACCCGTAAGTAGAGAGGTAGAGCCGAATACGCCTTAAACTTACTCGAAAAAGAGCTTTCCGGGGGCGAAAATTCATAACAGCCCCCGAAGTTATGAATTGTGTGTTTAAGATTGGTGTGTTTATTGTCCAAAAGTTATGCCTACCCCTACAAACTTATAGAAATTTGAAATTTACTTTAGTTGTTTAGAAGTACTGTGAATTTCAAATTGTTTCCTAGTATTTGATATTCTTTCATATAGAATGATTCTCTTTCTCTCTCTGTTTCCCCCAAATTCTCCCTCGGTGAGCACTGAGACATTCATGAGTGTGGATAATTTTAAATTGACTGAAAAGGGTCATCCAAGTCACCCTTATATAGATCTCTTGATGTCTCTATATAATAGGTCACAACTTTTCCGAAGTTTAGAACCTTTTGCAGAGTGATAAGGTACAAGGGGTTCCAACAATATTGTGGTGTGGTGTGATCATCCCATCGGCCATCATATTGTTGTATGCCTCAGGGGTAGAGCCAGGGGGGACCAGCAGGGGCCCTAAGAAGTTTCTGTTACATATAGCTGTTTACCAAAAAAACTTGGAAATACCAAGCAGATTCCTCATAACCACTCTTAAAATTTTGAATCTTTTTATTAAATAGCTTCTTTTTGGAATTCACAAATTTAACCCCTTTTGACAACTGTAAGGTCACCACCATCTTATTATTACATGACACCATTTGTAAATTTCCAATCATTTTGATAAAATAAGAGGGCCATTTTGTACAACAAATGTCAGTGATACAATATGTATCTACTTTATGTACTCAACAGATTCACTTCTCCATACCCATTCAATAGTGCAACTCAAAGAAACCAACTTAACAAAGAAAGAGCAACATAGAAAACAAAAAACGAAAAACCAATGCAGCAGCCCCAACAACTCAAAGATAGCAGCCATTTAACCCCAACAATAGTGCAAAACAGATCAGCTAATTCAATCCCAGCAACAATGCAAAACAGAGCAGCCACCCATAAACTCCCACCCAGAACCATCCACGATGCTGACTCTGCATGGATTCTACACAAGGAGTACACATAATAAAAGCACTAAACACCTAATCAACTGTGTAACAGTCCCAACAACAATGCATTTCAGAGCTGCTTTGATACTCACATTGCAGGAAATATAATCTGATGGACAGCAGTAAAGCCATTGGTATAGTTTTCGATATCAGCCATTTGAACTTCTTAAACTTAAACCCAGCCCACAAATTAAGAAGCCACTCAATTGACCCAGGCACAACCCACTGAATACCCCACCAATCCACTGAACTAGACCACATTGTGTTCGGATTGATGGACACAACAAAAGCACATGATTAACAGATCAATATCGTAATTTCAAAAAATACAAGTGTTACAAACACTCCCACTAAGTACACCAAAACTTAGTCGAAAAAGGACGTTTCGGGGGCGAAAATTCAAAACAGCCCTCGAACCATCGTGTGACTCTCACGGGCAACTTTTCCATGACAAATACGACTTGTGACAACTGACGGAATGCAATTCGGACCCGTAGGTTGGGAGTTAGAGCTGAATACGCCCAAAACTTAATCGAAAAAGGGCGTTTCGTTGGCAAAAATTCAAAACAGCTCCGGAACCGCTGTGTGGCCGACACGAACAACTTCCCCACGCCAAATATTATTTGTGACAACTGACGGAATGTTATTCAGACCCGTAGGTTGGAATTTAGAGACGAATATGCCAAAATTTAGTCAAAAAATGGCGTTTCGGGGGCGAAAATTCAAAACAGCCCCCGAACCTCCGTGTGGCTGAAACGAACAGTTTCCCCATGCCAAATATGACTTGTGACAACTGACAGAATGTTATTCGGATCCATAGGTTGGGATTTAGAGACGAATACGCCCAAAACTTAGTCGAAAAAGGGCGTTTCGGGGGCGAAAATTCAAAACAGCCCCCGAACGGTTTTTCCATGACAAATAGGACTTGTGACAACTGACAGAATGTAATTCGGACCCGTAGGTTAGAGTTAGAGCTGAATACGCCTTAAACTTACTCGAAAAAGAGCGTTTCGGGGGCAAAAATTCAAAACAGCCCCCGAACCTCCGTTTCGGGGGCGAAAATTCAAAACAGTCCCCGAACTATCTTATGACTTTCACGGACAGCTTCCCCATGACAAATAGGACTTGTAACAACTGACGGAATGTAATTCGGACCTGTAGGTAGAGAGTTAGAGCCAAATACGCCCTAAACTTAATTGAAAAGGGGCATTTCGGGGGCGAAAATTCAAAATAGACCCCGAACCGCCATGCGACTCTCACAGGCAACTTCCCCATGACAAATAGGACTTGTGACAACTGACGGAATGTAATTCGGACCCGTAGGTTAGGAGTTAGAGCCGAATACGCCTTAAACTTACTCGAAAAAGGGCGTTTTGAGGGCAAAAATTCAAAACAGCCTCCAAACGGCCGTGTGACTCTCACGGACAGTTTTCCTACGACAAATAGGACTTGTGAGAACTGACGGAATTTAATCCGGATCCATAGGTTGGGAGTTAGAGCCGAATGCACCTTAAACTTACTCGAAAAATGGCGTTTTGTTGAAATGCCCATTGTTCTTCAGATTCGTACAAATAAGATGAAAGAAAATTCTTTTCTTGCTCCGAATGTGAACTTGCAGGAGCTTGGTATGTGAGTTCTGCATTTTGTTAGTATTTGTTATTGCCATGATAGATCAACACATGATTGGTTCTGCATTTTGTTAGTTATTGTTGTTGCCATGTTAGATCATTCAACAATTGTTATTCTTTTCTACTTTAATTGTCTTTTCTCAGACTGGAATGACACTATATTCAAGTATTGTTAGTTAAGGTTTTTTGAGCATCTGTTTTGAGATTTTTTGTGGTTGGAAGTGTATAGTGAATACAATTATTTATTAGAGATGTAGAGTAATGGAAAATTAAGGGAAAAATATTCAGAAACCAATATTAACTCATTTTACGCCTTGTTATATTATATTAATTTCTTGCATGTACACTAGTGTGTTATATTATATTTAAGCTTTTATACAAGTATCAAACTCTGAATGGTGTTTGTGAGGCCATGTGCTTCATGAGATATCAAGTATTCTTTTTTGATGAACCATTTATAGGTGTTTCAACATACATTTCTACATATTTACTTTTGTGATTGAACTTTATTTTTGTTATTATTTTTCTCACATGTTCTAATATCCTAAATGAAATGGCACTGACCTACATTAAGAAGTAGGGATAGTTTTATATCCAATCTAATGATTCAAGTGCCTTTTGCAAACAATTAATGAGGAAGTTGGTAAAAAGAATACTTTCTATTCACATTGGGCTTTGATATTGGTTTAGCCACAGAATTTGGATAGATATTGTATACAAATAGAAGATTGTTACATTAGCTTTATGTTAGTAATGACAGATTTAGTAATGATTGTTCTGCATTTAACAATGTTCCTTATAACAAAAGACTTTAGAAAGACTGATAATTGATTCATCATGGAAGGTTGCTTCTTTGATATGTCATTTGTCACTTGTTGCCAAATTCATTCATGAAATTGGGCATTTTTGGGTCCAATTGCTAATTTTTTTTTTGTTTTTTGTAGATGACTTTGTTGCATGGACTTGTGGATAATCCATTTTGGTGTATGGAGAAGAAATTTCACTTTTGTATAGAACTAATAAAATACTTTTGTCGTCTCCGGCTTTTGTGCAGTTCACTATTACTAATACAGAAAACTTTTGGCAGCCAACAGATAATTACTGGCATGGTACATAGATCACCTTCTGTCACTGTACATATATGAGTTTTTGTCGTGGTACATAGATGTACTTTTGTCTTGGTACATACATCACCTTTTGTCGTGGTACAGATTACGATGGTAATTTGTACCATGCCAAATGGTCATTTCACATGGTAGTAAATGTAATTTTTGTATACGGAGGGCTTTTATTTTTGTATGATTCTATATTTTATATGGAATTATTATTTTAGTTTGGACAATAGTTGGTTTGTATGTACTTTGACAGTTAAAGTTATTTATTTTTTGTATACAGATGCAGATTGTGGAATGATTGATAGTATATGTATCATTTTATTTATATAAGTATTACAGGTTGCATGGAATATAGACAGGTTATGAAGAAATTATAATATTTGCAATAAAACGTAATGTCATGTTTTTTACGATTAAAAATTGTAGCAAAAAAAGAAAATCAAACATTTGGCGACTAAAAGTTTTGTAGTCAAAAGAAAATTAAACATTTGCCGACTAAGACATTTTGTAGCTAAAAACAAAAGTTGAATAAAAACACTTTTGCCGATTAAAAATTTAGTAGTAAAAAATGTTGGAGTTTAGGCGATTAAATGTTTAGTAGTCAAAACAAAAATTATTTGCCGACTAAAATTTTAGTAGCAAAAAATGTGAGAGTTTAGGCGATTAAATTTTTAGTAGTCAAAATAAAAATTATTTGCTAACTAAAATTTTAGTAGTCAAAAAAATTTGACTTTGGGCGACTAAAATTTTAGTAGTCAAAACATTAGTATTTACTTTAGGCGACTAATATATTTAATAGCTAAAAACTTTTTCCGCTACTAAATCTTTTGTCGTTAACAATAATTGAGGCTTTTGGCGAAAAAAAATTGGTCGTCGAAAATGTATTATTTAATTTTTTTTGGCGACTAAAAATTTAGCCGGCAATTGAATACAGTTGGTGACTAAAATAATTTTAGTCGCCAATTAGCTTTCCCGACAACTCTTCGGCTACTAATTCTGTGACAAAAAAATTTGGTCACTAAAGTCCTTCAGCGACTAAAAATTGACTTTTGGCAATTAAAAATTTAGTCGCCAAAAGTGAAAATTCTTGTAGTGAGTTTTGTTCCAGTTGGCTCAGATTTGTTTGAACTATTCTTGATTCTTTAGTCATCTTGTTCTGATCTCAAGGCTTCTTTCTGCAATGTCCCTAGTCTTCGTCTTCATCCCAAATCGGCTCCATTGGCTTCACTACATGATTTGGCTCATTTTTTTTGTCATTGTTGTGAGTCTAGTGACGTGGGACTTGATTTTTAGTCATCTCAGCCACTGGTTTTACAAAAAAATTACAACTGCAATGCTCAATTTCTTTACAAGCTTGGAGGGACTAGGACCAGAACAGGGACTAGGATTGGAATTGAATCAGGAATTGGGACATATAGAGGTATAGTATTCTCATTGATCATCATAATGATATTAATACCACTCAAGAAATGCATTGTGAGTTTTCATGTTGATCTTCGTGTATCGTTTCTCTCTCCTTGTTGGCAAGTGATATATACATTAGAGTGAATTTAATATGGCGTGAGCTCTAATTTTCAGTAAGTCCTGAATTCAAGTTTTGTTTTCTCTCTGATTGTAGATTCTGTTGTGTTTGTCTACATTGACTGTCAATCGATTTTTAATTAGAATTCTATTTGAATTAAGTAGTAATTGTGGTTATAGTTGTTGCACAAATTCAAACATAGAACACAGGATAGATGAGTGTTTCTCAGTAAAGAGCAATGAGAGCGAACACCATTGTTTCAGAGTCATATATGGCCATCTTGTCCTCTGTTCTATATTGTTACTAGAGTAAGAGTTTAATTTTAAAATAATTTAATAAGAATAAAGAAAGAAAGAAGGCGAAAAGAGAGATTTTTTATGAAAACATTTCTTTGTCCAATAAAGGTTGTGGTTCTATGGCTAATTCCAATCCCAATTTGTTACTTTTAATTGTATTTGCCCATTCTATTTTTTTTTTTCAAATTTTCAATCTCTTAGCTAAACTATTCAAGCTTTCAACTAAACTTTTAAATGATTTGGCCAAAACTTTACAGAATTTGAGTACAATAATTGGAAGTTTGCAAATTGTTTTCTAATTAATATTTTATCCTTTTTTTTTCTTTTTCTTTTTTTGTAATTGAACAACCATGTTTATCTACAAGTTTATTTTTATGCAGATTAAAATTATATTTGGATCTTGGACTTGAGAAGAAATAGAAAAAGGAAAATTTACAATTTAATGGTTAATTCATAAAATAATTACACATATATGGAGAAGTTTATAATTTTAATTATTAATATTTATAAAATATATCACTAATTTATAATTTTTTTTAAAAAAATTAACTTGCACCGAGTGCAATTTCTCCTTTTTACTAAGTAGTGGACACCATTTTTGACAACCCAATTAAAAATTGCTTCCACTTATTCTTTGAAGCTATATATTAAGAATGAGGAAACCAAAATTTCAGTTTTTTTTTTTTCCCCTCATAGTTTTCTTCATCATCTAATGTTAATGGCTCACTGTATATATTAGATTTCATTGGACATTTGGGCTGGTTTTATGTTAATGTTTGTTTTCTTTAATAGCTGAGGGTGTTTAGACCAGTTTATGTGCACATCGATTAATTTTTGAGTGATCAATTCCATCATTCAGTAATGGAGAGTTTAATTAAAGTAAGAGCAGAGTTCTTTATGAATTGACTCAATACAAAGATTAATAACACTTAAAAGACTTCAAACCTGAGGCCAATGTTGGCTGTTGATTGCGTTTGCTTTGTCTGTTCTTATTTGTTTAATTTATTGAAGTTTATGATTTGATCGTCCAATTCCGATGCCATTGTCAAATTATCAACCAACTCTCTTTCTTCTAATTGGAATTTGTTTGGTCTTACCACGAGGTCGTTTGACCCAATCACCAAAGCCGAACGGGGCCTCCAACAATAGAGGCCACGATTCAAGCCCAATTTTTGACTATTTTCTTTCTTTTTATTGGCATGAGATGGGCTATCATGAGCCTACAATTGGGTCAGGCCCAAATAGTGTTGAGAGGATCATTAGGAGTGTTTACGGTTCGGTTGAGGTCTAAAAGCTTTTGATCCGCCATCCGTCTACCGGATGAGCAGAAAATATATTTGCCGTCTATTTTTTCAGAGACGTGTGATAAAATAAAAATGTTATTCTTATCTGATCAATCTAATTTTTTCTTTAAATGATATATACCGAGGGTTCTACAGAATAACCAGTTTGAATCATCGAAAGAGAACTTTTAGTAAGTCCCACGAGACCGTCAAGTTCTATCAAATTTAAACTCAACCCAAATTTTAAAAGTTAAAAATTAGTATTATCTACATAGACCGAATGGTCATGCTTATACAAATTATTACAAAATTAAATTGAATAGACACATCTATTCATTAAGAGACACTTTGTCTTCTATATAAGGTGTAAGTTCTTCATTATTTTTCATATATACAACTTGTACTTATGTTTACTCTATAAGAGAGAATCCAATCACTTTTCAATAACACATTTATTTTTGTTACGAGAACTTCTACAAACTCAAAATTCTTACAATAAATTTATTTAGAAAATATATGTGTGGTTAAGATTTATTTTACAAGTAGGATTCATCATTTAAGAATTGAATCTATATCATTAATCAAGATTCTCAATAAATTTTGGGTTTAAGTTTATTCTTTCAAAAATTTCTGTTTGGTTATTCATCGACCAAATCACATTTCTACATCTTTAGTTTACTTTATATCAATGGTTCTACAGCTTTCTAATATCAAACCTCTCACTTTTCTCATCCACTATGAAATTTTGTTTTGTGTTTGGTTGATAAATCCATATAGTTTATAAATTCACTATAAAATACTATTTTTCTAATGTTTGTTTCCTTTCTATTATTATAAAATTTTCCATTTCAAAAATATAATTACAAATACAACGTGCAACATATGTGTATACTGCCACTAGTAAAACTAAATAATAAAAAAAGGCATTTGGTTCAAAAATCCAATTTAAATTTTTTTTGGGTAAATTACACTGTCACGCCCTGAGGTTTCTGTTTAATACAGATCTCCCTCTCACATTTGTAAAATTACATTTACCCCCGATCAATTAAAATGACATATTTGCCCTTTGCCTTTATACATATAAAATAATATAATAATACATATATTTTATTCATGTCATTTCAAAAGAAATAACCGTAATGACCAAAAAAATAAAAAAATAAAAAAATAAAGTGGTGGTGATTGTTTGGCGTGTATGGTCAGCATGAGGATAATGTTTTTGGGGTGGTGGAAAATTATTTGAGAGAGAGGCTAAGAAAAAAACTTGAGTGGGAAGGGTTTTTATAATATATATCTCTCTCTCACATTAGGAGAGTGGTTACATTCCAGCTGGGGCTTGCTTGCTTTCGGTGGGAAAATGATTAAAAACAAAAAAAAGAAAAGAAAAGACAACAATCAATGGGAAGATGGGTTTTAACAAATATATATATATATATATCGCCTCTCTTTCTCTCTCTCTTGACAATGATGAATGGGTGGGACAGGTAGTATTTGATTGTTATTATGGTGCATGATAGACAATGAAAAAAAAAAAAAAAAGAGGCACTAACTCTTCGAAGGAAAGCTTAGCCTGGCCAACATGGGCATCGGATTGAAAGCTGTTGTAGTGTCCTTGTTCTTGTCATCCCTGTTTTTGCCTCTGGTATTTTTTGCACCCAATGATGGCCTGGTTAGAATTGGACTGAAAAAGATAAAAATTGATCAAAACAACCTTCTTGCTGCTCGGCTTGAGTCCAAGGAACGGGAAGTGCTGAAAGTTTCTACTAATAAGTATAATCACCATGGTAATCTGGCTGAAGCTGGGGAAATTGATATCGTAGCACAAAAAAATTACATGGTTGCTCAGTACTTTGGTGAGATTGGTATTGGTACTCCCCCACAAAAAATTACTGTAATCTTTGACACTGGCAGCTCTAATTTGTGGCCTTCATCAAAGTGCTATTTGTCGGTTCCGTGTTTTTTCCATTCAAAGTACAAGTCAAACCAATCAAGTACCTACAACAAGAATGGGAAATCTGCTAAATTCACTATGATAGTGGGGCTATATCTGGATTTTTCAGTGAAGACCACGTCCAACTTGGTGACCTAGTTGTGAAGAAT